CAAAAGGTACCAATCGACCCTACACAGCAAAAACGAAGAGTCCTTTCGCCCCTCGTAGCCTTGTAGTCACTCTACCAACCGACCAGAAAGTCTGCTGTGAGGGAGATCCTCATGAATGGTATCTGTGGAAGTGAGAATCATCTTCAAAAACGGGTGATAGTGTTTGTATCAGGATTCCTACGGTGGCAAAATTCGTGAACAAGATACCACACCCTGCAAATGTAGTATTTATTTTTGAAATGGTAATACAGTAGTCTACTGTTCAGCTGATGAGATGGGCCTTGGAAAGACCTTATCTATAATTGCGCTCATTGTGGATGCAAAAATCGCCAGAAAAGAAAGGAGACGTAATGGCAAAGATGAACAGGACAGGGAACGAAAGAAACGCATTCGTGATGAGGGGTAAGTTTTTTGCATCAGCATCACAATTGCTCTGTTGGTACGATTTTATTGGTACTTCTTGGTTGTTGAATATTGTGAGGATGATTTTGTATTGCTACGTAGGTGTTTGATTTCCCATGCATTTCATTGAATACGTCTTTCAATTTGGCGGCAATACCGTAGGTAATCGACCATGTGCAATCATTCAAAAACTCCTCTGAATCTTAGACTGCAATGCCCAAAGGGTGGCACTCCATGAAATTTAGATTTTGAGAAGGGCACAATTGTTTATGCTTATATTTTAGCTTAAATGTAAACGAAAACAATGCTTGTGACACCTAGTCACAAAGCTAACATTTACTTTAGGCTTCTGAGTATAAGCAAAATATTAGGCAAAATTAAGAGTTTCATTCTCCACTATTTTTCGATTTTTTTCATCAGCTACACTGCATGATACTGATTTGGAGCAGTGCCTTAATTTGGACGCAGCCTACACCAAAAATCTCCATTCAGGTTCACAGACATGCTAGAAATTGAAAAATGGGCAGTTGCTAGCAAAAACAGGGAAGACGACTTTCATGATAGGTGGTAAAATTTCGTTGCAGCTGGAGTAGCGCCCATTCCTCACTATGTGTAAGCCACAAGTTTGGCATACCCGTTTCTATTGGTCTCGTGTTGCTCACCTCAAATAAATCGAATATGCTTATCACTACTAAAGGAATTTATATAATGTTTTGCTAGGTTAATACCGACCAATTCTACTCTGGTAATTGCACCTGCAGCTTTGATTTACCATTGGGAAGCGGAAATCAAGTCTCGCTGCGAGGATCACCTGTTGAAGGTCAAGGTTTATCACAACAATAGAAGAAATGTTCAGTCCGAGATGTGTGTCTATTATTTTTTGTGCTCGAAGTGCAAGATAGCCTTCTCAGTAAGGTTCATGAATGGTGTTAAGGCTTGCTAGATCGGACGTTGTAATTACTACATATACACTGGTCGCAAACGAAATCGAAAGGAACTCGGCTGGGAAGGTGATTCCTTGTTACGCATTAATTATTCCATTTTTTTTTTCCTTTCCGTGTTCTTCTGCCTTTTGTGAGTACAATTTCTAGGTTACCGAAATTTTATAAATCCGATCAGCTCTGTGTTCTGCGGCTTTTACAAGGTAAGAATACTAGGGAGCAAATGCCGTTCAGGATGAGATACCACCGCATGTGATTTCAACGTTGATCTCACATCTGCACTCAGAATCCGAAAAAAAGTTACTGGAAACGAGGGTGCCTCTCAGGTTTTTACCTGAGGATCAACGCTCCTTGCTGTGGAGCATCGTGGGCCTTACCACTGTCCTTTGAGGGTCCTGGAGCGCCGACGGTCGCAAGGATACCTGTGAACTCCTTCCACTTCATCTATGCCACGCTTATTCTTGCTTTTACATCCTGATCCACGCTGTCATCAGCGGCTAGGTCACTCCTCAGGTTCGGATGTCCTAAATCTGTTCGATAGCTTCTCCGAAGATGATTGACTCCGTGCACTCCTCGGAACTGAGGTCTCCGCTAGCACTTTTTGCCGTTTCTCCAGCTAGTCCTGGAGATCTTGGCTCTCCGCTCTCAAAGCGATGTCGTCGGCGAAGAGGATTGTCTCCAGTGATCTGTTCATAAGTTCTTTTGTGATGATGTCCTTTGTAAGCTGTAAGAGGATCGCGCTTAGATTTGATCCCTGGTGTACCCCAATCGAGGGGTTTATTGCATCAGTTAGGCTGTATAGGGTGCGTATTGCTTTTGTGGAACCGTCCTACATGGTCTAAACAGAGATCATGTGTTCTGGGACGTTGTGTTTCAGAGCGTTCTTCAGAGAATTTGGCGTGAGAGACGGTCTAATGCGTTCCTCAGATCGAGGAAGGCTGGATGATAGGATCGACGCTTTTCTGGATACTTTTCCATTACTTGCCTTCCTATGAGATGGCATCCGTTGTAGACCTTTCAGGCATGAAGCCGAACTGCTCCTGTGCGATTGGAACAAATTCTTTAATCTTGAGTCGACCGGCCGCTCGTCCAATTTCATCATGTGAGCAGTCAATCTGATCCTCCGGTAGTTCGAACGCCTCATCGCATTCTTCTACTCTCTTGAAGACGGGAACGAGGGAGCTACTCCTCCATGCATCTTGGATCCCTCATTTATGGTCATATTGTTCTGTAATCGGCTGAGCCACTTTACCCCGTGTTCCCGAACATCTTCCATGTCTCGATAGGTAGCCCACCCGGATCTGTTGCCTTCCCAACTTTCACCTTTCCTATTGCTCTACGTACCTTATCCTCTGTCCAGAGTTCGATGGGACCAGCCAAAGTTCCTAATTGGTGGAGCTGTACTTACGGACAAATTCTTCGTATAGGAGCCTGCCAAAATATTCCTTCCA